GTTACCGGGTTTAGGCTCTTTTGCACAAAGCAGCAGCTTTGAAGTAATTCGAAGCCTTGGTAGCACTCTCGAATTGCCTGCGAACATGGCAATCCACAGTTTTTCCGGCCTGCGGCCTAGGTGCCGAGCACGTCCATCTTCTGCCAAGAAAGGAGAGCACCTGAACCCTAAACCCTAAACCCTAAACCCTAAACCCTAAACCCTAAACCCTAAACCCTAAACCCTAAACCCTAAACCCTAAACCTAAACCCTAAACCCCAAAACCCTTTGCCGTCAAGCCCAAGTGTGAGTGGAAGGGCTAAAACAGCATCGAGAGAGCTGCTTGCGTGGTCTGTTTTTTTGCGCCGCAGCTGATAGGAGAAGCTGCAGTGGGCTCTCGACCTCAAGGAAGTGATTGGAGCGGCTCTTTTGTTGACAGGGTAGTTCTCTTTCTGTGACCTGCCTTAGAGGAGAAGGCCAACGAGTGCTACTCGCAGAGCAGGTTCGAAGAGGCTGTAAAGGTTTGTGATGTCATGTTGCTTTTCATCTGTATAGGGTTTAGGGTTTAGGGTTTAGGGTTTAGGGTTTAGGGGATTAGGGAAGCTTGTATAACCAGCCCACTTAGCTGGCTGCAGGCAGCGCGCCTCTACAACGACTGCCTGGTGGCGCTGGACTTCGATGGCAAGGAGAACGAGACGGCAGAGGTGCGGGGAGAGCAAATGTGCCCAGAGAGCCCAATACCCCTTAATTCGGGAATAGAGCTTCAATTATAAGGGGACCCTTATTATGATTTAGGGAGTATTCCTTAATTGAGGGGTATTGGGCTCTTTGGGTGCACATGGCGACGCGCAGCGGTTGCTGGCTCCTGGTGCCAGGTAGTGGCGAAGCTCCAGCTGCCGGTCTGCACCAACTTGGCCGCGTGCTTGATCGAGCGGGGGCCCTCAGCTCGAAGACCGCGCAGACCATTTTGTTGGTCAATTCCCAAAGAGCCCAAATCCCCCTTAATTAAGGAATATTCCTTAAATCATAAGAAGGATCCCTTTATCATTTCGGCTATATTCCTTAATTGAGGGGTATTGGGCTCTCTGGGTTCCCATGCAGCGCAAGAGAGCCTTTGCAGCATCGTGCGGAGCTTACTTCTCTGATCTTCTCTGCACCTTGGCACCCTTGGGACAAGGATGGGCAAGTACGAGGAGTGCGCATGCGCCTAAGACCCCAGCTGGCTCAGGGACTTGGCAGAGGCGCAAAAGTTGGAAGTGCAGTCTGCAAGCCGTGCAGGAAGATGCGAGTGCCAGTGTTGGGGCTGGTTTCTGTCAGAGATTTCGGCTCGTGAACCTGGGCCAAGAAGGCCCAAAGAACAAGAGTTTCGTAGTTCGAAGAGCCATGAAGACGGAGGAGGAGGCCCTGCTCGGACGCCAGCATGTGGTCTTTGTGGACGGGAGCTCGAGCTCCGGGGGCTGCTGCGCAAGATGTTGCGGGTGCTGCTGCTGCTCCTTTTTTCCCCTTCGGGAATGATTTTTTGTTTATAGAAAACCCAAGAGGATATTGAAAAACAGAATTTTATTAAGGTTCTAAGGGGAGTGCAGGCTCGTGTTTCGGGCTCATTCTCTGGGTCCTCCTCTTCATGATGACGACGGAATGTGCGACAAGAGTTTCACCGGTGGAGCACATTCTTCCCTCGAATGCAGTGGCTGCCGCGGCCCTACTGCCATGCTGTGAGTAGGTCAAAGCACCCTTTTGAGCTGACTGGGGGGGGGTTGTGCATGTTTTTGCAGCCACGGCAGACATTGGCAGCAGTCGAAGGTTGAGCGCGCGAGCGAGAGAGAGAGAGAGAGAGAGAGAGAGAGAGAGAGGGAGGGAGACAGAGAGAGAGAGAGAGAGAGAGAGAAAAAAATAATTCCTCAATTGGGGAGGGTTCGGTGCGCAGAAAGAAAGAAAGAAAGAAAGATAAAAAAAGCCAAGCAAAAGAGGAACCAAAGCAATATACATATTTTGAAAAGACAAACGACGCAGAGAAATCGAGTGTGTGTGTGTGTGAGAGACATACTCTCCGAGGCTGGTGTCACGCCTCCTTTCGAGATGGGGACGTTGGGCAACATGCCCCCAGCATGCAATCGAGCGCAGTCAGTCGCAACTTAAACTTGCCTGCACGACGAAAACATGATCCCTCTCGCGTCGCCTAGCGCCTGAAAGGTTCATCGAATCTGCAATGGATCTGAACCTGACAGGCCGCGAGTGGTTCTTGACAAGCTTGCTGAAATCATGCAATGGGCATGGAAGGGTTTCAGCTTTTTTGCAGGGATATGGTGGATGGATGGCAACCCACTGATCCACGAGCACCTTGCCGCAGCTTGAGTCCTTAAGCCGGGCCTGGCATGGTCGGATACGGCCCGCGCAGAGATTTTGCATGTTTTCATGTCTCAGCGCGGCTGGGACCCAGTATGTGGAAAGAGTTGAAAAGCGCGAGGTGACTGCCCCCGAGTTCCCACGCCCCAAGCTTGCGACTCTGAAATGGTTCCCCAAACGACCTCTGCGTGTGGTGAATTCTGGGTATTATGGGTATTATGGCTATTATGGGTATTATGGGTATTATGGGCATGATGGGGATTATGGGTATTTTGGGATTATGGATATTATGGCTATTATGTGTATTTTGGGTATCGTGGGTATTCCGGGCATTATGGGTATTATGGGTATGATGTGTATTCTACCAGCTCTCAGTTACATTGTCTTCTGTGCGTCCGTTCTCCTGCTTGGTGCAAGCCTGCTCGTGCAAAAACAGCAAGTTGATGCAAGTTGCGCTCAAACTTGCGCGTCTCTCTCTTTCTCTCTTTCTCCTTCTCTCTCTCTTTCTCTCTCTCTCTCTTTCTCTCCCTCTCTCTCTCTCTCTTTGAATAGGCAGCTTTGGCATGTTCTCACCATGCGATGGTGAGGCAGCTTGTGTCCTTTGCTGGGGCACAGGGCACGATGCCGTATCCAGCGACCGTGTACAACCCCTCCAGCTTGGCAGGCGCATTGCAGAGACGGGTTTAGGGTTTAGGGTTTAGGGTTTAGGGTTTAGGGTTTGGGGTTTGGGGTTTAGGGTTTTGGGGGGTAATTACCGACACACAACGGTGGTCATATGTTAACTCATGAATGTTGCGGTGTACGAGCTGTGGTGTTCAACGGGGCGGAAGTGGATGCTGGTGAGTTCACGGTCTGGATCGTGGTTTTGCATTCCGTCTGTCCTCCAGGAATTGCCTGTGCCGTTATTCAAAGTTGCCTGAGTTTAGGTTAGAGGTGCCTCCATAGGTACTGTCGAGGTACCGTTAGTCCATGAACTGCTCCAGGAAATTTGCTACACTGCAGCAGCTTCTGGCAACACCTAGCCAAGTACATACTTGTGATGACGTCTTGCAGTATGAAGATTGCACGTCTTGTCTCGAGCCCGCCCGCAGAATCAAGTCATTGGCACCCAGCGCAGAGCTGGAGTGGCACATGTTGGCCGTTGATGTAGGCATGTTTCGATGGCACTGATGGACCTTATTCCTATTATTTTGATTATTCCCATTATGTTTATTATTGTTAGAATAATAAAAATATTAGTCATTAGTTATTACTGATTCTTATTGTTATTATTATTGTTATGATTATTATTCTTATTATTCTTATTATATATTTTTTGGTTATTATTGTTATTATTGTTATTATTCTTCTTCTTATTATTATTAGTATTCTTATTATTTGAGTGTAATTGCGAACACTTGCACAGGCCACTGGACCTGGTCTGACAACTTCTTTGGGCGTGGCATCATGATGCACCTCGGGCCACGCAGGGTTGCAGGGATGCGAGCTGTGTTGTGGAGGCTCTGTGTCCACCAGTTAGGTAATCATTTGGGAACTCGATTCCAAGCCTCAAGATGCCCACAGCTGAGGTTCTATTCGTTCACAACCTCCGCGGAAGCTTATTCTGAGTCTGACCGTGCTAGCTATGCATGTGAGCTCAGCTTCCGAGCACCTACATGTTTGTTTTTCGCCGTTCATTGCTGTCAGTGTGTGTCGTGTCATGCGCACGGCAAAAAAAGGAAGCAACGCACGACTTCTACTTCGTCAACAAGACTTATGCCGACATCGATGCCACCTCGGACCTGGTCTTCGGTGAGGGCACCTTCCCTTTCAAGTACATCAACGATGACGAGTGGGACAGGGTTGGTGACTATGTCTTGCGGCGGATCGTCTATGGAGATGGATCCCCTCATCCCGTGTTTTGGCCCAAGTTCGTGGACTGGTACAAGAGCACATTCCCAGGCCTCGGCATTGCTGTGAAGAGCAGCAACAATGATTGCATGCGGAGGTGTCAGTACCTTGCGCCTTGCTTCATGTGTAGACCTATTTGTGGAGCGGCATGAACTGCGATGTGGCGCAAGACAGCGGCTGAGCTTGACAGCAAAAATGTGCTGTTGAGCAGAACCGCGCATGCGTTCTCACCAATGCTGGGCAATGACAGCGCCTGTTAAGCCAACTGGAACTTTCTTGCCTGTCAAACGGTTTTGAACAGCTAGCTCCAAGTACAGATTGGCCGCAGGTAGGAAGAATTGACATCGCCGACTTAACCAAGCTGCTGGCAGATGACCAGTGCAAAAAGGGCAAAAGCGAGCAAAGCTCTGAAAGCTTCGGATTCATGCGGAATGCAATGCAAAGCTGTACGACATCCCCTCCGCACCTCTCAGGCTCCGTCCATGTGCAGCCCAGGTTCAAATGTGTGACATTGCTCTCTCTGTGGAGCCAGCAGCCCCGAAGGCCAGCTCGGTGTGACATGGTGGGCAGGCAAAGGTGGGGGTTTACGATATTGGGGGTACCTTATCAAGGTCCTTATTGTAAGGGGATCCTACTACTTAAGGGTCTATATTGGGGTCCCCCTATTTTCGTAAACCCCCAGGTAGCACGTGTGAGTGTGCTAGGCATGGAGTCTTTTGAATGGCGGGAGATGCGGCATCCGTTTGAGAAACAGCTGCTCAAAGACTGCCAATTTCACGTGAATCATGATTCCTGCTGCTTCTACTACTACACGAGTGTCGCCGATGTGTCCTGCTCGCAAAAAGATATGCATGCGTGTTTGAGCTGCTGCGGTCCTGCCAACCTTCCTGAAGTAGTGCTTCAACATCACGGAGGGAAGAATCAGAGTCATGCACTTCGCTGAGCTGAGGGCTTGGGCATGTTGGATGCTGCTTGGTGCAGCCACGCCCCTTCACCAAAAAAGAGTTTCGCACAGTATGAATATGATGATTTTTACTAGTATTATTATTGTCATTATTATTATTATTATTAATATCATTATTGTTATTTTTATGTCATGATGATGATTATTATTATTCTTAGATGATGATCACTATAATAAAAAATATTACTAAACAGATAAAAATAAATATTATTAGTATTGTTAGTGGTGCATGGACCCCAAAGGTTGGGCGGCTGCGACAGCCCAAGACATCCGCTGTCACCCAAGGCTTGCCCGAGCCTCCAGGCAACTTGCGATGCACGAGGCGAGCTTCTATGAGGATCAGATCATGAAGGCCGGGGCCAGTCACAACAAAGGACTGCTGTTGAAACTCAAAACCCTAAACCCCAAACCCGAAACCCTAAACCCTAAAGTCTGTACCCGAAATCGTGGCCGAAGTGCCGCGGTGGTATGGGCAGTGTACCGCCG